ACTTTCCTGCAGCTCTCTCAATCATCATCCTCTGTTCATGAGACTCAAGAGTCCCTTGAAGCTCTTCCTTCGTCAATACTGACAGATCTTTCGACTCTTCTATGGCAACTACCACGTGGTCGATTTTGGAGTCAAGGATCTCAAAATCTTTGAGACAACTGCTTTCGTCGTTAGCGCTTCTCCACATACTTTGATTTGATTCACCAACTTCGTAATTCTGGTGAAGAAATCTGTAATGCTTTCGTTGTCTTCCATCTGAAGCAACTCATAGGTTCTCTTGTGAGTTTGTAACCTCACCTCTTTCACCTTCTCTGCGCCTCCAAACGACTTTCCAAGAATCTCCCATGCTTCTTTTGCTGAATCAACATCACTAACCTTTTCAAAGTTATCAGGATCGACACACTAATGAATTATAAAGAGTGCTTTATAATCCTTCTTCTTCAATTCTTTGTGCGCAGCCTTTTCCGCCTCCATTGCATTCTCCCCAAGCGATGTTACTCCATCTTTCACAAGATCCCAAAGTTCTTGATAACAGAAGATCACCTTAATCTGCTTGCACCAATTCTCATAATTGTCTTTCTTGAGAATTGGCAGGGTCGCCGGAAAGTTTTCGTTCGGATAGTTCATCGCCATCACTATCTTCCTTCCTTGAATCTCTCAACCGGAGCTCTAGATACCAGATGCTGGAAATTCACCTCACACCCTATGAAGAATTCCCTTCAATCTTGATCTCAAGATTGATGAACAAACCCACAATATGATAATGATGGTAATAACAAGTAATTATCAAGAACAACAAAAGAGAAGAAGAATAACAAACAAGAAAGAGAAGAATGAGAGAAGAAGTATTTGGAGAGAATGTGTTACCCACAACTGTGGGATTTCTTATTGAACTTTCACTTGCTAACTGCAACTGTGAAATCTGTTCTGTTGTGATGTAGAATACAAAGCAAGGCACCCTATTTATAGTTTTAGGTTTACACTAGCCCAAAACATAAAAGGCCCAAAATATTCTAAATCAAATCTAATCATATGATATCAAATCTAATCATATGATATTTAATCATATCATATCAAATTAATCATATGATATCAAATCTAATCATATGATATCAAATCTAATCATATCAAATCACAATGAATTATATTTAACATATTCAACATCATCATATTCATCAAAGAACATCAAAGGCCACAATATCACAGTTTACTCACAATCATCTCATAAATGCAAATGCAACAAGACTCAATGCATGTGGTACCAATCATCACAGTTTGATGGACATTGGGCCATCAACCCTCCATAGATCCCCATCAAAAGGATCGATTCTACTCGAGAATCAGAGCACATCAAAAATACTTCATATCCGCACAATGGAATTGAAGCCAAAGTAATCAAGGTCCTGAACCGAAGTCCGGATGCATATGAATGCATAATGTACACGTCAATAATCATCCTCATAATAACATCATAGGTGCATCATCATTCATCATAATCATCATCATCACAATCATCGTCATATATCATGTCATCATAGAATTCATCAAATTTCATGGTAATATCATCATAGTTATCCAATCATTACATCATAGGAATCATCATATAATCATGTACACATCACATAGAATTCATAGTCATACTGATGTTAACTAATCAAAGAAATCACAGCATCAAAACATCAAGGCATCGCTATACAGAATCAGAATTCGCAAACTCTGCTACGTTCGCTAGCAAGTTCGCTAGGCGAGTCTGGGGCGAGTTTCTTCGCTGTGCGAAGGATTCTTCGCAGTGCGAGTCTGGGAACGAAATTGTTCGTTGTGTGAAGGATTCTTCGCTATGCGAACAACGCGATGACAGCAAAAATCTGCTACACACCAGAACCTAAAATCAGCCCAAAAGCCCCACGGTTCACTTCCCCAATGCCCATAAAACATCTCTAAATCCTCCCTAAGGTCTTACGGCGATAAAGGCACAAAACCTACAATTTATTAGGCCAATCCCGCATCATATTCACGCCCTAAATTCCAAATTTCCTTACAATTCCACCATACTCATTAGAATTACTCACTATCTAATATTCTTATCCCTTCAGGGTTAGACAAATGTCAAATCAGAATTTTGGCCACGAAGACCTAATTTCACTTTTTCTAAAATAAATCCCTACGATTAAAATCTCAATAACAGGTTTAGGCCACGAAGGCCGAATTCGCTTTTTCCAAATGAATTCCTACGGTTAGATTCACAATAATAGATTTAGGCCACGAAGGCCAAAAATCCGTTTTTCTCATATCCACCCTCAAAACCCTTAAACCCTTAAATCGACCTTAAATACATTGAATTTACACATTGAAAACAATGAAGGTAATACTCCTCATACCTTAATTGTCGACTCAAAGTCTTCTCAAATCTTTCAGAAAACCTTTCGAAGCTTCTGCCTCAATTCTTCCTCCTCAGAGCTCTGGCCTCAATTCTTTTCACGGTCTAACAAAATGAATCCTAATCCCATCACAATTTCCTTTTTGTTAAACCTAGCATTAGGCCTCACAATTGGGTTTTTCCAATATTACCCTCACTAACTCCCCTCAATTGTCCAATTTGCCCTTAGTCAACTTATATTTATTTTAATTAATAATAATATTAATATATTCATATTATATACTATTATTCAAAATAAATAACCCAAATTCCATTAATTCCCAATATTCCACAATCCACCGAAAATCACCAAAATACGAATATTCTTATTAAAATAAATTAAATAAATACTCCAATTAAAATTTGGGGTGTTACATATTTCCAAAAATCAGCAAGGATACAATTTGGAGATGCATCTCCAAAAAAGCTCATGTTTGCACAATGGCAGAAACAGATACCAGTCTTGCCCTAATAACCCAAAATGCAACCAAATTATAGTGCATTTCTCTAACAACTACCTATTTCGAATGTAACTACTACCTAATGTATTTAAGAGTAACTATTTTATCTAATACATTAATCAAAAATCAAAAAACGTTAAATGAGAAACCTACTCAAAAAAGTATTTATGAGGATGAAAATGTTGAATGTAGTAAGTGGAGTGAGTTAGGATTGGTACTATTGAAGTAAAGGCAATGTTGTTCCTGAAAAATTGACTTCTGGAAGAATGTTGTTCACGAGTTCCAATGGGGTTTCTCAAAAGTTGAATGTAAAATGAAGAAGGAAAAAAGAAAGGGTTTATTTGGGCGTTACATTTAAAATTAAACGCATTCGGAGATACATCTCTTAAAAACATATACGAAGACGCATCTTGGAATTAAATTTTGACAAAGTGAGAGAAGTTCAACCATTTTCTTCTATTTTGTATGAAAACATCATGTTTAAAGATGTATTTCCGAAAATTAAAGATATTTTTTACTTTTCACCAAAAGTTTGGGTGAACCTATAAAGGTAGAAAAAGATATTCTCTATTATTATGAGTTGTTTTAGGAGTTTAGATATTGGGTTGTTCTTTTTAAAACGACTTTTTATTTCTCTTTTTTATTTTTATTTTTTTATTAACTATATAATTATTTTGTTATTAGGATTGTAGAGTACCTTCAACCTCGTCTATTTCTTCGTTATTATATATACGATTCAATTTACCATTTAAAAAGTTTTTTAACTACAACATCCTTTCACTTGTTTCATTCTAACTGTGATAATAGTTTTCACATTCATTCATATAATATAATTAAAAAATTAATTGAAATGCACCTACATATAAAAGGATTTTACACTATCCGTTAACCGTTAAATATTAAAAGAAATTTAACTTTTATTTTAATCATCAATAAAATAATACCAATAAATAACAGTGATACACTATCCGTTAATCATAACCGTTAAATATTTAAAAAAATTGACTTTTATTTTAATCATCAATAAAATAATACCAATAAATAATAATGATAAACTGATAGTATAAAACTTTTTATATCGACAGTGTATCGTAATTAATCTCTATAATAAATCAGATAAAATAATACAAATTTTTAATGCTAAGGACCGGTGTGTCATTAAGGAGAAGGAACCAATATATTTCTTTGGAAGCTATTTGTAACTTTTTAAGAAAATAGATCGAGTGATTTACTATTTAATAATTTTGATAATTTTAAAAAGTTTTAAAATGTATAAATAATTAAAATAAATTATTTCGACAAGATAATATCTAGTTTAGAAAGATAGAGAAAAAATCAGTCAATGTTAAAAATCACTCAAATCTCGAACCATATTTTCTACATTAAAGAATAAACTATGTAATAATACCTGCTTACTACATCAAGTCACTTTTTTATTATGTCACATTTTCTAATTTTGTAATCATGTATCTTGTCATTTAATTGTAAATTTACATGAGTTACTTAACAAACAATGAGTTTTTTTGTATAATATTATAAAATTGTTTTTATAAGTAGCTTAGAAATTTTACTTTAAAAATTTATATCATAAACAAAATTCATCAAGCAATGTTGTCGATAGAAAAAACATATCCTTACCCGCTTAGAATTATGATTACTTAGTTAATTCTAAAAAAAAATCGAGTGTTCTAAATAGGAATATAATTATGCGAAATTCAAAAAAGAAGGCCTGATAAATTGTACAAGGGAAGAAAAATAAGTATTTCACATTTCTAAGCATTTGTATACATGACAGTTTCAAGTGTTGAGTATTCAAAATTAAGAACTCAATCTCTACAGATTACCTGGCCGGCGATGCTCTTGGAAATTGCTAGTATATTGGAGAAACAAAAAAAGCTAATTAATAGTTTCGATAACCAAAAATGATGTTTGATTATATTCAAACCTCTATTCTGTTGCCGAGACAAACCCAAAATTGTTGCTCTAAATTTTGAATGATTGCCAGAAGAAAATATCTTAACTTCTCATTTGAGATGAATTGCTGCATTGTAAGGACTAGATATATATAGAGATCAAAATAATTATAGTTTTCTCCTGGATTCAAGATACAGAATGAGCAAAACTTAATCAATCTCCCCCTCTTCTACATCATTTACAGTCTTTGGAACACACAGTGGATCTCCTTCCTCCTCTTCTTCGTCAACTTTCATATACAATCCTAGTTGTTCCAAGGGATTACAACCACCAAACGTGAAACTACCCATGCCATCCTCAGACTGATCAGGACTTGTCACGTCTATACAGCTAGGTAATTGCGTACCAGGTACAGCTCTAAGCATTTCCAAATCTTCCAGAAAGTGTGAATGCTCATTGATTTCCACAGTTTTTTCCATCTGTATAGATTCCAGTGTATGATGCTATAAAATCTAAAGCAAGAATGTAGATGGACATATATTTCAGGCAACCTAGACACTTATTTACCTGTAGCAGTGCTTGCCGAGCAGCTTCTCTCTCAAGCTCCCTCTTTCGTTTAGCGTCTGCAGCAGCAGCTTCTTCTGCCCGCTTTCTAGCTTCTTCAGCTGCCTTTGCTTCTGCTTGCAGCCTTGCCTTTTCTGTTTGAGAATGAGTCAGATCAACAGATAGGTAGGTTAGTTAGCATTCAATAGCAAGTACTGTAAAGTCCTCTCACAAGTGGGACACCTAACTCACCTTTCCGTCGCTCCATCTCTAATTTTTCCTTATCCCGGCGTAATTTCTCAGGATCTCCCTTCACACCCTAATCACGGCCAAATTAAATTGAATAAATCACATAGAAATTGAAAAATAATCAAAAGAATAATTGCCCGCAGAGTAAGTAGCTCAATTATGCGGCACAGCCTACCTGGGTCAGTGTCTTTTCTCGAGCTTTCAAGATAGTGTCAGCAAATCGACTCTTCAATAATGCAGCTCGATAAAGTTTATCAGGGGAGACATGTCTCTCAGTTGGACCACATTCTCCTAAAATATTAATAAAATAACTGGTTTTGAGATTGAATAAAACAATAGAAAGTTAGGAACATATCTACCATAACTCATGCACTCTTACCATCTTGAAAGCAATGAGAGTCGCAAGAATTTGGCTTTTGCTGAGATTTATCCTCAAGTTTATCCAAGCCATTAACTGACTCTTGAAATGAAAGAAAAGAATATAAGATACTATTGCAATGTCTTACGGTTAAAGATATTTAACCGTGACCAATATCAAAGGAATAACTAAAAGAAGTCAATGCTAGCAAGTAGAAATACTTTAGTTTATCACAAGTATGTAACATTAGTGAAAAGTTGCAAAGTCAAGTTGAAAGGTCCAAGGGGGTTAAGATCCTCCCAAAATGGAAGGCTCCATTTCTCAAGTCAGAGAGACATAACAGACAGTAGCTTGAATTTTCAGACAGTTCATCCAACACCGCCACTACCAGAACCGCTCAAACTGAATTTCACAGATGATGGATCATATAGGCTGGAAGAAGTGAGCTTTCTTGCATGCTGTTTGAGCTTCCTTAACTAAACTATTTCACATTCCTTTTATAGTGAGTTTGTGTCTAAACTTGACTTCAAATTCCTAAATGATAAATTTGTCTTTAATTTATAGCATTTTTTTGGCCCCTTCTGGGCAATATGAATTAGTTATCTTAAATTAATAGGTGCACAAGTCCTACATCAAGTGGTATGGGATGATCAATAGAGTATTGCAGCTGTTTGACTCTTCCCCCTTGATAGATAACTTTTGAAGAGCTATATGCCGAGGGGGATGAAAAAACCTCCATAGAGTGCATCCATCAAGACGTCGGTTCTCACTTCTCAGGGGCCTTCTATCATAGGGACTTGAGTATTACGAGGTGCCCAAGTCCCACATCGAGTAGTATGGGATGCTTGGTGGAGTATTTAAGAGGCTTGGCTCTTCCCCCCTTGATAGCTAGCTTCTAAGGGTTCCCCGATATCCAAGTTCTTAGATACATTACATATCAATAATGTTTAATGTAGATATCTATGACAATAAATAAAGTTTTAAAATCTTTAGAGAAACACCTGACAGAAGGAAAGTGGGAATAGCATGGTAGATGCAAAGGAAATACTTGTAGTGTGTAAGGGGTTTAAGAATATTAAAGATAAAAGATTAGATTATTAAAATCAGCCAGGGATATTGTCGTCCAACAAATATCACTCAACAGCTTCTCTATGAGCTAAGAATAGTCTTCTATCATAATATCAACAGAAAGGTTTCAATAGTTTTTTTTGTATAAACCAGGGTATTCTCTGTGCACAACTGCGGAGAGTAATCCCTTGAGCCGGGAAGAACCACAATGGATAGCAAAACTCTCCCCCAAAGGATTTAACACTTATGCATGCTCAAGAATGGAGAACCCAGGACCTCCAGTTAAGCTGGAAGAGATCCCTTATCATCTCATCCAAGTGCTATTGGATTTTCCAGAAGTTATTCAAACTATAATTATAGCAATTAAATGACATGATCATTATTCAGTAGCTTGTTGTGTTGCAGAAAAAATCACGAGTTAGTGCAGGGGAAAACAGTTGTTAATTAGTAAGACACGCTTGATCACAAAGTCTCGTCCTAAATACTGATGGATACTACTACCCCACAACATTTACATTAAGTTCAGTCCTCATAAACCCTCTAGCACAATTCTCAACATGAATCTACAGCAGCCGACCAGATTAACTATGGCATTCAGTTTGGATAATGTAGAGCAGTTAAATTAGCTAAGTTTGTCAGTTAGTTAGTTAGAAGAAACTATAGAAAGGAAAATTGGGATAGAGGAGATCCGGTACATTCAATATATGTTGTGAGGGGAGAGACTCTATGCAAAGGAAACCCTTGGCAAGGATTACATTCTCCATTTTATTTTCTTTCAGTTTCCAGTAATACAATTTATTTTCAGTTCAATCTTACTGATGTTTAATTTAAACGCGTTCACCAAAGAGTATCCAACTCAGAATTCAAAATGAAAAACCGAGAAGCCGTGCAGAAGGAGCAAATCATACAAAACAAACAGGAAGCATTGGGTCAAAAAATTCAAATTTCAGTTCTATAAATTGCCTTATTTCTCAAACTGGAGAGCATTATTGATTATCATCTTCAAGGAGCATAAAAGACAAGGAACAATTACTCACGGATTATAGCAGAAGTATGAGTAGATGTGGTCTCTAAATCCATCTGAGAAGCAGTGCCCATGTTTTCTTGTACCTGGAGTAAAATATAAATGAATGATTGAAGTATGTAGCAAAAAAACCACAGGCAGTATCCAAAAGAGCATAAGCAATCATGTAATTGTCTTAACAATGAAGTTCTTAGAATACAAAATTACATTAGAGCATCTTAGTTTATATCTAGGGTTAATTTATAATTTTACAGTATCTTAGATTATCTCTTAGGAGTAGTTTTCATATTACTTATTATTATTACTGTGAATCATGATCTGATTCATGATTTCCCAATTTATTTAGGATTATGTCAATGTAGCAGCATATCATAAATAGGGATTAAAGTTTAGTCTTTTGTATTAAGAGAGTATCAATTTATTATCAATAATATTCGAAGTTTTTATTAATTCTTCCTCCTTTTATCTAAAACTCGTAACTTCAACATAAGTACTAATAAGTTTCGTCTTTTGTATTTAGAGAGAGGAAGAAATAATATGATTAATAAAATTTTCTTCATATATTAATGTTAGTGATTCAAGACAAAAATAAAAAAGAGCAGTTTCTGTTATATTTATATATTTATATGTTTATATGTTTATACTAGACTGTGAATCCCAACTAAATAAGGAAATATGAAACCAATTCTACAAGATAATATTGACATATTCTATAATTGAATAATGATGTGATAAGATATTTTTCAGATATTTCTAATTCCAGCAGTAGACATTCAAAAATAACAAACAACTAAATGATCTTTCACTAAATAATTAAACCAGACCTTTAATAAATCATCTGGTCTTGTGCTAGCATCATCCGATTCACTATCAGAAGAACCACTAGAATCTGTATCTGGAAATATAAGCAAAACATTTAACATGCAATTTGACATAATTCAATCATAACAAGTATCAAAAGGTCAAGATACAAGGTCAAGGTATACTTTGACATTAAATATAGCGATAGTATTTAGTTTTTTTTTATTGCTTCGCTTTTTTTGTTTGGAGACATGCTTTCTTGATTAGTTGTTTATTAGAAAGATTCCTTATTGACCCATTTAGAACATCTTTTGTTTTAACAAAAAGACAAATCTTCTATCAATTTTTTTAAAAGTAGCAGCTCTTTTAAACCTCAACAAATTGATGTATATAAATAAAGTTGATACTGCCTGTAAAAGGAACAACATGCACACAACAACCCACCGCTGCCATATTTTCCCACTAGATGAGATTGGCTACATAAACCAGCCAACTTTAGTGTCTAAATGAATCATGTTTAATGACAAACCAGTCAACACGGCTCTTGCTCACTTGAAAGTTGACACCGTAATAAATAAGATTGGCTACATGTATCAAAGACATCATAACACCCTATTAAACTGTTTTTAACAACAAACCAGTCAAAACAGCAGTCCTTGGTTACTTGGCACTACACTTGAGTCATAAAATGTGCTGCTTATGAACAACAACCTAGTAGTAACACTCTAAATCAATGATACATGTCATGAAGATTTAACAAAGTTGTAAATTGGTTATCAACTGTCTAACAGAACCCACAACTTTTCTAGAATTCAACAAGCTATATAAAACCTGTGGTGTTATTAATGCTTCTAAAAACTTAAGGTCATTTTTAATAACTTCTTTTAGAGTTTTTATAGATCTTCCTCTACCTCTAGTTGTTTGACTTCTCTTCATCTAATCTACTCTATTTAATACATAATCTACTAGTCTTCTCTCTACATGCCCAAACCACCTAAGTTTATTTTCCATCATCTTTTCTACTATAGGTGTTATCCCACACATCCAACAAAACATCCTCATCCTATCTATCTACACGTACTTTATTCTCGTATTGATTCTTAATCATCCAACATTTTGTCCCCGTACAACAACACAAGTTTGTGTGCTGTCAACATCGTAGACTTTTAATATATCTCATGCTATCTTTCTAAAAAAAATTGTCAAATTATATTTATTCCAAGATTTGTTGAGTCATGTAAGTTTTTATCAACTTTAATGTTTTCTGTAATAATTGTGTTGTTACAGTTATTCCAGTAAAAACTAGAATGACAAGTGGGATTTTTCGAAATCCGCAACGCAATAGCCGCTATTTGACAAAAGTGACCAAAGTAACTATGAAAAACTGACACATTGATGCAGGCTGTATAGCAGTCACCAAGTTCGAAGCATCATGATTTTGTAATGAATTCCAGTTATAGGTCATATGCACACCATCTAATAATTCAATTGAAAAATGAAAATTTATTTAGATTAATTTGACTTTTGAATTATAAAAGAAACTGTCCTGCTCAATCCAGTATGTAAAGTTTTATAAAACTATAGGTTCCACAAACTTGGTTCCAAGGTTTGGTTTATATCCCCCTGCTGTTCTTTATTTTACTTTATTTTAATGTGTATATGTATTAGAGTGTTGCTGATGATTGCTGGGTTGCTAAGGTGCCAACATAGTTGAGATGTCACTAATCCATAATGATGCCCTTCGCACTTGCAAATTTTGTTTAAGAAAAAGTTTTATAAAAAGCATAACTCTTTTGAAAAACACATTTTACCTCTACGAAAATCAATGAGCATGATATGCATAACACAAAGAAAAGAAGGGAAAATCAATTGCTAAAGTAAGATGTAGGAATAAAAAACTGTAAAATATAAATAAAGCATACACATATAATACGAATTTAAAAAGGATATTTTTCACAACTCATGTACCAAATGTATCGTGTGATCAGATTTCCTCATTCTACAAAAGTTATCACAAAATTACTATAGTAGTCAAAAGCATCAAAAAGAAATTCAAATCTCACTTACCGCTGCTCCCTGAACTTGAACATTTACTCGTTTGGTAGGTTGTATCCTTTTCAATCACTACAGGAGGATGGCTTGAGACGGGGGAATCAATTCCACAAATGTCCACCTCTTCATCAGCCGGATCATCACCTACAAGCATAACAAGTTTAAACAAAAAACAAAGCATACACACACGTTCACACATTGAGAAAAAAAGAACACAAATATTACCTTTAAATGCTTGCAATGATGAATTGCTTGGTCCAGAGTCATTAAAAAGCTGCAACAGCAAACATAAATAACCAGATATCGTGTCATACATATTGTGAGACTAACATTTCATTACGAAGATGATGAGTAATTTTAGACAATGTGATGCTAGCTTAATTCACGGAAGTATTAGTTAGCAGAGAGGCACCTACCTCTATTTCACACACTTCAACTTTTACTTTGTTTTTTTGCTTCTCCAGTAAAGAGTCATCCAAAAGCTTTCGTAATTTGAACAGTGTATCATCACTTAGATCTTCAATATCAATCTCAATCTCATCTTCACATTCTTTATCATTTGAATTATGCTCTTTCAAGAAATCAAGGATATGGGCAGGTATTTCACCTTGAAGAGACTCCAATTCTCTACCAATATTTAGTTTTTCTTGATCAGACATAATCTGTTTAGCATGTGGGATAACTTGCAGTTGAACAGGTGGGATAACTTCAGGTTGAGCAGGTGGGAGTGGGACAATTTCAGGTTGAGCAGGCAATGAGGCAATTTTCCTCTTTTTAGAAGGATGCGCTGGTCTGGTAGTTTTTACATCTTCACAAGTTTCTCTCTTCATGGGCAATGGTAGAGAGCCTTTTCTAGGAATTTTTTTCTGGATTGATTTCCATCTCAGTTCAAAATATTTATTAAGGGCATCGGCCATGATATGAACATCATTCCCGCGTGGATTATACTTCATTGCATTTGAAAATGTAAGTCTCACATCTGCCGCAAATTCCAATGGGTCTGTGTATGACCCTGTAGCGATCTTGCTCTGTACTGTTCCCAAATCCATAGGATGCTTAATGACACTGAAATAATCAGGAAGGTTCAACTTAACCACATCCACAGGGGCGTTAAAAACCCAACCATGTTGGTGATTCATCAACCTTTTCAACAGTAACTCACAATCTTTCATCAACGCAGCATTTGCAGTTCCTGGCAAGGAAGTTCGTCCCGGAGTCTCAAATTTTCCAGAAGATCCCCGACTCCCTCCACGAGGCTTCTGACTCTGATCCAATGATTTCAGTTTATTCACTGATACTGAACCTGATTTTGATGGTTTCCTTGAGGTCTCAATTAATGGTTTCAATGCATTCCCTGAAGCTGAACTAGACATTGATGGTTTTCTCGAGTTCTCTATTAATGGTTTCAACGCATTCCCCGGTACTGAACCAGATATTGATGGTTTTCTCGAGTTCTCTTTCTGAGGCCTATTTAGACCATTATTGCGGTTAATCATATTATCACTAGAAGACGGCAATATAACACCATTTCTCTTTTGGAAAAGGTGAAGCTGTTCAAGATCAGACCTAAACTGATTCACAAGATCTTTTCTTTGAAGCGCTGACAATTTAGACAAAGGAACAACTTGAATAGGAACTCCAAAGTCGCCACGGAGACCTGAATCAAAACCAATACATTTCCTTCGCGAAATCCGATTGTCCTCCTCCGAAACAGTATTGTCAGTATCCATTCTTCCTGATGTACCGGATCCATCTGATACACAACCTGTTTCAACTGCATTACCACAATATCCCCCAGAAAGCCTACTCTTGGCCATTGTCACCGCACTCCGCAATCAAACAAAAGCTTCAATTCCTACACGGTATATATATTATATCCCAAACTCTAAATTCAGCACCAATAATGAATTATAAATTCACCTATTCAGCTTTTCCCCCACAAACCTATCGACTAATAGTTAAAAAATAAAACCTAATCTCCTAAACCTAAAAAACACTAATACTACTACTAGCGATGATATAGAGTGGGAAAAATCCAGTACAAAATTACCAGTTAAGAACTGAAAATGAGCAATGTGGAGAACGAGATTCGAAGAAGCCCTTTGTTGAAAATTTCCTCGAAGCAAGTGAGAATAATGAAGAATCACCGAGAAAAGCAGAGAAAAACCCTAGCAGAGAGAAGATTAGCGAGAGAGGGTTTTGGTTGTTGCGGAAACTGAGAGAGAAGAGAGAAGAAGACGGCGTTTTTATTTGAGAGTAGAGAGAGAGCGAAACTAGGCTTTCTTTTTATCTCGCCTCCCTTTTACAAATAGAATCGCGCTCTCTCAGATATTTAAGCCTGATTTTGTGTTTTAATCAATCTGATGGCAAAGATTTAGTTGACACTATTAGCCGTACGATTTGCGACACAATTTTACCTATCACCCTATTGGGCCCACTCGTGTCTTACGCGGGGTTAGTTTTTTATGGTATATGATTTTGAACTCGAATTTATTTGCAAAATGTTATAAAAAGTTAAAATTAAAAAATTAAAAATTAAAAATAATAATAAATTTTAGTTGAAATAATAATAAATGTAGGAGATGAAATTTAAATAATAATATCAAAAATAATATGATTAAAAATAAAAACTATTGAAATTTATATTAGATAAATTATTATTTTAGTTTTTTTACAAATAAGATATTATTTTATAAGAGATAATACAATTTTTGAATATCTACTCAATCTTTTTTAATAAGTCCTCTTAATTTTTTTTAGATATTTAAAAAATATGGTCGATAGATTTTTATTATTCAATATTTGGATCAGTAATAAAGTTATTACATTTTATAATAATAATATATTTTTATATATATATGGTCGATAAATTTTTATTATTCAATATTTGGATCAGTAATAAAGTTATTACATTTTATAACAATAATATTTTTTTCGTATATAAAGATATTTTAATTAATAATATATTTTTTCTCATATATTAATATTATTTTTATTTTGACATTATTTATAAAAATATTTGAATAAATAGTAAAGTTGTTTTCGTATATAAAAATATTTAAATCAAAATATTTTTTGTTTTGATAATATTTTTAAAAATATTTGAATCAATAATAAAGCTATTTCCGTTTATGACAATGGTATTTTCTCCGCTATATAAAAATATTTTAATCAATAATATATTTTTCCCATATAGAAATATTATTTTTATTTTGATACTATTTATAAAAATATTTAAATCAATAATAAAATTGTTCCCATATATAAAAATGATTGTACCTGACCAAAAGGGATCAACGATCTGCCACGCGTCGAAGGTTTGAATGTTGCTCACCAGGGTGTTGTAAAGGAGGAGGGGGTGTACCTGAAACACACTCTGATGCCAAAGTAAGTGACGGGCAGAGTGGAAGCAAGTACAGAGAGAGAGTAGGAAGATTAAGTTACCTGACCCTCTAGCGAAGAGGGTATTTATAGTGAGACCCCAGCGCAGGGCCAACGGTTGTCTAGCACTGGGCTGGGCTGTCAGGCCCAATATTGTCAATTGCTAGGGATGATGTGGCATCACGGAGACCAGCATGTGATCTATGCCCTAGTGTAACTGCTCTGCACTATCCAGGAGAAGGAAGACAGTATCTTTCGGAAGTGGGAAGTTACCTTATGAGGAGAGGTCGACGATGGATGGTCGGTAGCCAGGGACCTGCTCGGCCGATGAGGGCCTTCGCCCTACTCGGATGAGTGTTGTGCCTCCGGGCCCTAGCTCGACAGCATGGTCCTATTGGGCCCAACCTCAATGGGGTTTGGGCTTGTCTGATTGTGGGCTAAGCCTCGGCTCAGTACAGAACAATAGCCCCCCAAGTCGTAATTCGCGGTCAGGCGAGCTATGACTTAAGTGGGGAATGGCATCGGGCGCGCTGATAGGTCGGGCAAGTGAGACACGTCGGCGGAACGGGTGAACTGTTGAACGGCCGCGTGGTCGGGGAGAACACGAGGAGATGCATGGAAGGTGAAGGGTCACCCCGTGTCTTCTCGTGGCGGCTAGGGTCTAGGCACTTGAATGCCTAGCGACGCTTCGTTTTCCGTGCTAGCGGTATATACTCGTTGATCTGGCTCGTCATTTCGTTCATTCGCATTTCGCAGCTGCTCAACGTCTCTGACTATCTGCTCGACGATTTTATCGCTCCTGTTCGGTTTCTGGGAATTTTCTCGTACGCTCCTGCTCGACGCTCATCTTTCTACATCATCATCACGTAAGTTTTGTGCCTTTCTTGTTGTTTGGTTGTTTATGCCGGTGTTTCTGGTGGCGCCGGAAATACTGCGGGTTTTTCCGGCGAGTACGCCGGAGGGCCCTTCAAAATTAAGGTATGAAACGGTTGCCTCTGGCCCTCGCGATGAGTGCACCGGGGAGGATTCAGAAGGGTTTCAAAGGCCCCGAGGAAGAGTGGATGAATTCCCCGGGCACAAGTGGATGAATTCCCCCGGCACAAGCGGATGAATGCGCCGGGGAGAGGGGACGTACTTCTCTGGTTCCCTCGGGAGAGATGTTGTCCCCAGATAGCCTCGTGGGCGGTTCGACGACCATGCCCTTTCACTTGGACTGCAGTGGAAGGGTGGATTTGATTAACTGTCGAATTCACCGAGTTCCTCTGCTTTTCAGGTACAACATGGTTGGTCCCGCCGAAGAGGAGGTGGAGTGGTATTTATCCGAGGATGAGTCGGACCACGAGGATGTCGGCATGGAGCCTTCAGTGAGGCCCGTGGAGGAGTAGGCCGGGGAGGAGCCCTTAAGTTATATGTTGCGGTTTGTCCATGACGACTTGGATGCATTTGTGGTAATCGAGGATCGGGTGCCCGACATCCCTCGTCGGTTCCGTGCGTGTCGACCACGAGCAAAAGACCGCATATGCTCGAAGTACGACGATGGCCGGTTTCCCATGTATTAGTTCGTGTTTAAAGAGGTAGGGGTGCGTCTGCCCTTCTCCGGTTTCCAACAGGGTGTCTTCGACCATCTGATGCTGGCGCCACCCAAATTCGCTGGCCTTCCTCCGGGTGTTCAAAATTGTGTGCAACTATCTGGAGGTCGGGGCGACCATCCCCTTATTCTTCTGCGTTTTCCATCTGCAGCGTCAGACGACGGTAGGTCGTCACAGCTGGTTTCGCTAAAGCAGGCGACCCGACTCTTCCGGCCGTACACTGACTCTGTCTAGGGGTTTAAGGATCGATGGTTTGTGGTCATGCTGGACACAGACGAAGGGTACGGGACCATTTTTCGGAAGGAGACTGTGGTTGTGGATGGGGAGACCTAGAAAAATTACGAGTCTTACTTTCCCTTGGACTGGGGGAACCAGCATTTTCGTGTGGGTACAGACAGCTATATCTTCAGGCCTAGTCGTCTGAATGAGGAAGATAGCCTGGCGTTCAAGAAACTGGTGGACTTTGTCGGGCGCCTCCCTCCTCGGAAGTGTGTGACTCCGGATGGGGAGTACATCCGTGACGTCGAGGGGCACGTGCAGACGGAGACCCGGTATATAATGTTAGGGCTCTGCTCGAGTGTCAGGCGGAGGTTAAGGCCCATCGGATATTAGGTAGTTTGGGTTTACATGAGCTCATCTTTTACTTGTTATTTTTCGTTTCTAACTTTTGTTGTTGTGTTCGACTTGCAGGTGTGATGGGTTCGATGGAGGAGAGAGTTACCAAGCTGATGAATAGGGGAACTCATTGTGCTCAAGGTCGGGCCCCTTCTGTTCCTAGAAATCTAGTCGTTGCTTCTCTGGGGTCGACCTCGTCTCTACAGGCCGTGGGGTCCCCGGTGCAGGCTCATGTTCCCAAGCGGCAAAAGGAGGACGAAGTGCCTCTGATCGACCTTACTGAGACTTCCCCGAAACGTGGGTTTGCCCTGCCTCCTTGTTGTCTCCGACCGAATTTCTTTTTGGGGAGGAATGAACTCGGAGTGACTCTGGATGAGGAAAGGAGCATACTGGCGGCGAACAAAGAAGCTCGTAGAAAGATGTTGTCCACGGATCTGACGGCCATGGTAAGGGTCTTCGAGACGGACGACCCTCATGCTGAACGAAGCGGGGTGCTCCTCCGAGGACTTGGCCACTGTGAAGTCTGAGCTTGCCACGTTTGAGGAGATTCGGGCCAAGTTTGTGAATGACCTGCGGGAGGTCCAGGAGCGGGTCAAGACCCAGCAAGATCGGACCGGGGAGCTGGAGAAATCTCTGAAGGATCGAGATGACGAGTTGAAGAGTATTCGGGGTCGTGTCATAAAGTTCGAACTGCTGGTCGCCCCTGCTGAGGAAGAATTTGAGAAGGAATGTCAGCTGACATCGAGGGGGTTGCTCGTAGGGAAGATTCGGAAACTCGAGGAAGATTGTCTCGGTGTCGTCGAAGTGGGGTTCAACAAGGCTGTCGAGCAGCTTTGTCTCGTGAATGCTGACCTGGTGACCGACGGGACCGACCCCTTTTTCTCGATCCAGGATGGTCGGATAGTAGTTCCTGACGGCTCAGATAGCGGCGACGGGGAGAACGAGGCGCCAGAGGACGAAGAGCTCGAAGAGTAGTGTTGGTGGCCTGCATGCCCGTTTTATCTTTCGTTTCGGCCTGCGTGCCATGTTTGGGTTTGACTTTGGGCTGATGCCCTTTATTTATAATGTTTTGACTTTCGAGTTTATGCCCGTTTTGATTTGAATCTTAAATTTCTTTCTAAGGACCCGTGTGTGCTCGTATATTCATGCTCAATAAAAGTTTTATTTTGTATGCTCGGTTGCATGTCTATTATGCTATGATTTAGTTTTGCTAAGTAGGAAGTGTAGCTCGA